TAATGATAAGGAAGGATATTCAGGATATTTCAAGTGAAAGAAGGTACTTAAGTGTATTACCTCGTTTTATTGCACTACAGATACAGTTTTTCACAAATTGAATGTTTGTGGCAACCCTGTGTCAAGTGTCTGTCATCATTTTTCCAACAGCATTTGCTCACTTGTGTCACATTTTGGTAATTCTTGCACTATTTCAAACCTTTTAATTATTATTATATTTGTTATAGTGCTGTGATCAGTGATTATGACTCACTGAAAATTCAGATAATGGTTAGCATTTTTTAGCAATAAGGTATTTTTGAATTAAGGTATGTATTGTTTTCTTAGACACTGCTATCACATATTTAATAGACTACGTATAACCACAACTTTCCTATGTACTAGCAAACCAAAAAATTCACTTGACTCACTTTATTGTAGTATTTGCCTTATCAGTGGTCTGGAACCTAACTGCTGATATCTCCCAGGGGTGCCTGTACTTTATCCTTTATGTAAAAAGAAGTATAACTGTAATCTAATATTAATTTATATCTTAGGAAGAATATACTAGGAAATGCTAAGTGACTGCCTCTAGGACTGGAGTAGTTCAAGGGCAGGGATGGGAGTAGGAATTTTTTTTCACCATTTTGTCATAGTTCCTTTTTAGTGTTGCATTAATACCTTTCCTATTTATATAGATATATAAAAAGTGTATAAAAATAATGAAGCTTAAAAGAAATAATAGGTAGTTAAAAGATTTTAAAAAGGAAAAATATTGCACTTTATGTTGGTGAAGTACCAGCTTTTAGGGATGATAAAAACATTTCCATATACACATCGTATAATAGTTTATCATCAAGCTCATCAAACCCCTTGAATTTTATTAAAAACAATCTTAGTGAATGTAGTAACCACAATGTTGCTCATGTGAAGCCTTCATAAGATTGTATGTCAGATGCCTTAATAAAAAAAAATCTTAGTGCTTGCATCAAAGTAAAGAGTAAAAAAGCGGCTTAATGAGGCTTCTTCATAGAAAGCAAACAGGTTAAGAGTCAAGATTATAAAGCGTTTTCAACTGGTGAATCAGAGGTAGTTTCTCTGTACAGTTACTGTACTGGGTTCTCTGAGACCCTTTGAAAACCCTGTCTAGTCTGTATTATTTTACTCTCAATTAATTATAGCTTGCACTGACTGGAAGGATGTGAGAGGTGAAGGAAAGTATTCAAAATGAAATTCTGTAGAAGTTATCTACGGCAGAAATGTGTAGACGAAAAAGGCTGGCTTGGCGTCTTGAGAGAAGTTCAAGCGAGGTTCTAAGCGGCCTCGGCAGAAATCCCTGCAAGACTTCCTTTTCCGACGGGACCTACTGAGGGCTGCTGGACTCGAGGCTTCAACGCCAGCGCCGGGCAGCAGATGCGGGGCGCCTCGGGTCCACCCAGACCCAGGAAGGGCGGACGACCAGATCGCCTCTACCTGTGCGGCAGAACCGGATGATCCGGCTCGGGCCGGCCCCGCCCTTCCGAACCTCGCCAGCGACTACGCGCACGATGCGCGCCAGGACGTGCAGGCCCGGTCCTGCCCAGCCGGCCCTGCCCGACGCGGCCGCAGGGCCCCGAGGTTCGGGCCTAGGCCACGAGGGCCGGCCCGCGGCCTGCCCTGGGTCCTCAGTCCTGACAGAAACGGACGCCACCACCCCGCTGTCCCCGGCAGCCTCTCGCCGTCTCAGCAGGGAGGGGCCTAGCGTCTCACGTGATGCCCCGCCCCCGCCCGGCCCTGGTCACGTGGGTGGCGCGGCCACTGCGTCAGTCACAGTCCGTCAGTCACAGTCCTGGCTACGGGAGTCGGGCTGTCGTCGCTGCCGCCGCCAGCGGACGGGGCGGGGATCCCGGTGCCAGGTCCTCATCGTCCCGCCCCTGTCTCCTCAGTCGGTTGTCCCGGGCTGGGCCCGGCCGTCATGGAGCGGGGCGGGACCTCTGCCTGGTCGGTGTGAGGTGCGTCGCCACCGCCGCCTGCGGTTTTCGAGACCCCCGAACCCCCGCCGCCGCCCGGAGCCCTTAGCCCTTGGCAGCCTGTCGCCGCCGCCGGGCGGGCTCGCGCGCGCGTCCGGTGAAGGTGCAGGCCCGGCGCCGCCGCTGCCGCAGCTGGGAAATGGTTCGGGCCTAGCGGAGCCGGGACTGGAGGTGAGAAGGGCCGGCTGACTGACTGAGGGCCCGGCGCGGCCGCGGGGTGGGGGCGGGGCGGGGGGCACCGGGCCGCCAGCCCTCGGGGAGACCCTTCGGGCCAGGGCTGCTCAGTGCGGCTTCTCCCCTCATCTTCGCGTTCCACCTCCATCACCCCTCAAGAAGATAAATAAAAGAACCTAACCCAATCCTAACAAATTCCCAGAAATCCATCTTTAACCGTTTCTCCTTTTCCCTTCGTTCTTTAATCCGCTTCTTTCCTCAGAAATTCCATTGACTTGATTTATTACTTAAAAAAAATACCCTTCTCGATTTCAAGGTATTTCTACTTAAAGAGAAAATAGGCCTAGATTCTGGCTATCATCACCCAACTAGTTCTCGCTTTCCTTCTCGCGATCCTGCGCACGTCTCTCCTCCCCCTTCCTCTGCGAAAAAAAAAAAAGGGAAAAAAATTTCCGCCTTCGACTAGCGAAGGAGGTTGACTAAAAATGGGAAAAGTGGGGGTGTAATACTTAAGTGCCCCCCAAAAGTTCTGAATTGGCCTGCTCGCTAGTTGTCGGGATAGCTTGTATTTGGATATTGATGTTTAGGCCTTCCCTCCAGCTGCCTGTGCCTGGGGTTAATCTCGTAATTGACGTCAGTGCTTTGTTCCTGCCACTTTGCTGTTCCTTCCACTCTTTGAGGATGGATCCTGGGGCATAGGAGTTTGAAGAGTATCCTTAATTGCTTTTCTTTTACAAACGATATCATTTATAGGAAATTGAAAGTACAAATCTGAAATACTTGTGTATGGAGTTCAGACTAAGATGAAGAGTTCGATTTAGGGTTCTTACAGTCAGTTGCAGTTCAGAATTGTGCGATTTCTTTCCTGGTGGCCGTATGGAGATTTTAAACCAAGGCCAGTCGCTTTTCCGGGGACCGGCATTTTCCGTGACAGAATGTCAAGTGTAGGTGCCTGTGAATTGGATGTCTGTAAATGTGACGTTAAAAATGTGTGTTTTTTTTTTTTTAGGTCTTAAATGTTAAAAGCTCAAAGCTTTGTTTTCACATTGATTCTGTAGAGCTTTGTGAAGTGCTTCTTTTCTTTAACTGTCTTTTGATTTACAAAGATTGAAATACTTATGAGAATATTCTTAATCTGGTATTTGATAAAGAATCTTTTGTGGCCTGTAAAATCTGTTTAAATCATCTTTGGTCATACGTACATAAAGAAGTGTTGGCAGTGGCCACTTGATTTTTTTAACAAACCTGGCTTCTTTAAATTTCTGTTTTATTTTCTTTACTCGTCACTGCATTTTTTAGTCTCCAAACATTAAAACAAAATCTTGTTATTTTAAATTATCTTTTAGAGTTAACTTACCTGGCATGAATCAAATTTTCTTCGTTTTTAATGCCAGCAGTTTCATTCAGTTTATGGTAGCTTTCAAGCAGATGACTTTAGTTTTTGTTAGCTCTACAGGAATAGTAGGCAAATTCTACTTTAAATAAAAATCTTTTGTGTAAAGTGGGGACAGGATAGGATGCCTGTGGATGACCCTACCTTGATTGTTTAGTTTGAAAAAAAAAAGCTTATCTGTGTTAATTGGAAAATGGTCTACAATTTTGGGGTGTAAAGGTGATTCTGCAATGCTTCGGTGAAGCTGTGTAATTAAGAATTCTTAAAGAAGGTATTTTCATTCAGATTCACTTTTTACCTGTCAGATGACATTTTCTTCTCTGTGTTCTTGAGTTATGATGTCCTCTTTGTAACAGTTAATACATTCTGCGTTGTGTTGTAATTTTCTTATAGATCTATTGTGTCATTAGAGCAAGAGATGTGTTTGTACCTCTATGTATCCTTCCCAGTATTTTATACAGTTATTAGATGGAATTTGAGTGTGATATCCAACCTAAAAGTTCATAAAAGGGTAATATAAAAAAAGCTGTATGAGCAAGTGGAAGTATTTAGAAGGAGAAAAAGCTGACTATCAGAAGAGAACAGCAGATGAAGCCTTCTGTAAGATATGTATCTTATCTTTTTTGAAGAGTTAAGGCAAATGTTATGGTTTTATGTGTACCTGAGAGGAACGAAGACAACAGGTGTTTCTTCTTTTGTGGTCATCTATAAATCAGAAAGGTAATTTAAATATTGAAGGTACACCTTGGCAATGATCCAGCGTGCAATGTGATGATAAAAATTGATGACTTAGATTTTATTTTTTATTTTAACTCTGTCCAAAGGTATCTTACTATAAAAACTTTCCTATATAATGTAAAGGTTCCCCAGCTTTTGAACCCTCAATCCTCATTACGTTTTACCCAATTGCTTTTTCATTTCCTTTGGTATTTGTATTTGATTTCTGGGAGGGTGTTTGCGAGTCTCAGTTACTGTGAAATAAGGTGTAGTCAATGACTAAAGACTGCTTAAAGCTAACCTGACCTGTTATCTTGCTGCTTTTTTCTTTGGTCTAAGAAAATCACCCCTTCTTGTAGTAATTTCCTATATTCACTCATCTTGGTTATTTGAAGTGATACTCTAATACATGGAAGAAGGTAGTAATAAACATTCCGGTTACTGCATTTTGGCTGATCATCTGTATTCCTGTTTGTTTTGATGTTCATCTTCACTAGCATCATATTCTGAGAATTTTGATGGTACTCATACACAGAAAATGTTAGAACCACTGAATTCATTTCCAAAATAATCCAAAAACATTGTAGTATTGGCGCTACATGTTAATTCTATTTTTGAAGGAAAAAAAGTCTTTTTAAAATATCCCTGCTTCATCAGCTATACCTTATTTTTAAAAATCTGTAACTTGAGGAATGTTCTGAGGGAAAGCATTTCATGTAACGATCTCTCTTGGAGTGCCTACTGCACCATGGTGGTGGCTCTGAGGCAGATAGACAATATTATTAACAGATAGGGTTTAAAACTAATTATTTTGATAATTTCCTAGAATAGGTGAAAGAACTTCATGCATTCTTTTGCCAAAGTATGTGGGGGGAAAAGTCAGGAATTGACATGAATAGACTGCCCTAGAAAGTCATATGGTTTGGCTCTCCAGATGACATGATCTGACCTGGGACTGGGCTCCCTGGGACTACTTTTGGCCTGAGTGGGTCTCTGATAATTTTGTTAATTTGGAGCTGCCTAGTGGATTATGGCATTTCACTTTGACTTTTCCTTTTCTTGTCATCATTTGGGTAGGGACAGCTTTATGGAGAGGTGTGTAAAGGCTAATACTCTGCATAAACAATCTTTCCCACCTATTTGCATTTGCTTCCATTTCTTTCAGCTGAAATACCACTTTTTTGCTCTCGTTGCCTAGCTATTCAAATTTTACCATCTTTTTAAAATATATTCTTTTTTTAATTGAAGTATCATTGGTACACAATCTTATATTGCTTTTAATTATACAACACAGTGGTTCAGCAGCTACCCGTATTATTAAATCTTCACCCCCACTAGTGCAGTTACTATCTTTCAACATATGAAGATGTTACAGAATCACTGGCTATATTCTCCATACTATACCACCATCCCTAGGACCAACTTAAATTATGATTGATATTTTTGTATCCCTTTATCCCCCTCACCATCCCTTCCCACCCACCCTAACTCCTCCCCTTTGGTAACCATGAGGAACTTATCATTGTCTATGAGTCTACTGCTATTTTGTTTATTTTGTTTTTACATTCCACAAATAAGTGAAAACATATGTTATTTGTCTGCCTGGCTTATTTTACTTAGCATAATACCTTCTAGATCCATTCATGTTGTTGTAAATGGCAGGACTTTTTTTTTTATGGTTGAATAATATTCCATTTTGTATATGTACCACATCTTTATCTGTTCATCTATTGATGGACACATAGGTTGCTTCCATATCTTGGCTACTGTAAATAATGTGGCATTAAACATAGGAGAATATATCTTTTCAAATCAGGGATTTTGTTTTTGGGTAAATTCCCAGAAGTTGAGTTACTGAGTTGTATGGTATTTCTCTTTCTAGTTTTTTGAGGAACCTGCATACTGCTGTCCGTAATGGCTATACCAGTTTACATTCTCACCAACAGTGTAAGGAGGGTTCCCGATGGTTGTATCTTTTTGATATAAATTTTTTGATTATAAAGTATCCCTCTTTATCTCTGGTAATATTCCTTGTTCTGAAATTTTCCTTGTCTGATAGCAGTATAGCCATTCCAGCTCTCTCTTATTAATAGAAATTTTATCATCTTTTTAAGCCCAATGCCCATTGCCTTCCTAAAAATTTGCTTGATTCCCTACCCTACTCTACTTGTGACCTACCTCTGATTCCTTGTATCACTTGTATTTCTCTTAATTAATTATTTGTTCTGCACTTAACTGTGGGACTATAGCCTGCTGGGTGACATTGAGCACTATGTATCAGGAAAGACACACTAGTAAAACAGACTGTGTTAAAACTGTGCGTTAATTATGTATCTAAAAAATAAAGATTAAAACAAATAACCCAACATAAGATTTCACTAAAAAAATTAACACAAATTCCTTAATATCATCACATATCCAGTCAGTGTTTAAAATTCCCTGATTATAGCTTTTGTTTTAACAGTTAGTTTGAATTGGTATCCAAGTAAGGTCTGTATGTTACATTTGTTACATTGGATTGATGTGTCTCAGCCTTCTTTATTTTTCTCTGTAGGTTCCTGTCTATCTTTTGTTCTTGTTCTTGTTCTCAAACAGTTGGTCTATTATAGAAACTAGGTTTTTGCCCTAAGAGACTTCTTATATTCTAGATTGTGCTGATTGCATTCTCTATGGTTTCATATAACTTCTTTTTCCTGTAACTACTCATTTATCCGACTCAAACTTGATCCGACTCAAACTTGAATTTTTTTTTTTCTGGTGGCAAAAATACTTCATAAGTAGTGTTCTTTACTTCCT